TTTTTAGTGTTTTAAGAAAAAATTGTCAGAAGATAAAGCATTCTTCATTCTCAGATTTAGTCCTACTCTACACCTAGATTCTTTGTTGGTAGGCAGTGTATTTCTTGTTTGATTTTCAGTCTCACGCATACACCGTCGATTTGAGCAAAAGGGAGCAGATCTACAGTACTGCAGAGAAAGTGAAAAGGGATGTGGGCAAGGTGGATATTCTCATCAATAATGCCGGCATCGTTACAGGTTCGTTATTTACAAATTTGGTTGTTTTAGCCAGATGAAGGCTGTTATAATCGCCTCCACTGCGGCAGTCACTTTGTGTGTTTGCACCACTTTCGCGTCTATAGTGTACAAAGCGACGGTTGCAAATGATGTTAACATTATTAATATTTATTTATACTTGAACCAGGAAACAGTTCTCTCCGCATCATTCGGAGGTGAATGTCTCGAGCGGCTCAAACTCGCGCGACTGCCTTGCTTGGGTTCTGCACCTTTTTCGCGAATGAGGAGAACTGAGCTTCAGTTGCTAACTTAGCGTGAGAAAAGAATGCACAGCACTTTCACGAAAGAAGTGCACAGCTCAAGCAAGCGGTCGCGTTAAATTCGAGCCGCTCGAGTCGAGCCCACTCCAAATAAGAGGCTTATTACAAAACCCCGAGAGTTAAATTTAGTACAATCCTACAAAGCCACCGCTGGAATGTGAAACGCTGTCTTTGGCCTTCTGAAACACATAGCACACGTCAAAAAGCATTCTTTCTAGGCAAGAAGATCTTTGAATGCCCCGATAACCTCATGGAGCTCACCATGGCTGTCAATACCCATGCCCTTTTCTACGTAAGTTTGTACGTTGTTTATCCCTGCTTTGTTTCTTACACAGTTATCTCCAGACGACTAAGGCGTTTGTGCCAACCATGCTGGAAAACAATCATGGACATGTGGTCACCGTCGCCTCCATAGCCGGCAAAGTTGGTGTCTCTGGACTTGTGAGTTGAATCTAAACATATTTGATGATCACCTGTTGAAAAAGCTACCATATAGAACTAAGATTGTCTGTGATTTTTTTCAGGTTGATTACTGCGCTTCCAAGCATGGAGCCATCGGCTTCCACGAGTCACTGACAGCTGAATTGGATGCTCTCGGCAAAGATGGCGTCAAGACAACAGTTGTTTGCCCATACTATATCGATACAGGAATGTTCGATGGAGTTCAAACAAAGTAAGTACAAAAGTCTTCTGTCTTGCCTATTGGTTTTCCCACTTCTAGATTAACTTTTTATTCAGATCACCGACACTTTTACCCGTTTTGCAACCACAATATGTCGTCGACTGTATCATGGAAGCTGTACTTACTAACAAAGAAATGATCTCAATGCCACGATTCAATTACTTTGTGATGTTTGCCATTGGGTGAGTTGTTATGCATCGCCTTTTTTTCCATCTTTTTATAACAGTTCTGAAGTGGTGACCCGCATTTATCGGATTTTACTGGCCCAACAATTGCCTGAAAATGCTAACATAGAAAATAATATTAGCGCTAGGTAGGGTTGTAGTGCATAACCTTTCAAATTGCGTTTGTCCTATTAGTTCTTCAAATATGTCCACATTCTTCCAACCGTCACAGATAGATCCATCATCGGTTATCAACAATTTCCAGCCTATTGCCAACAGACGTCTTACGCGTCGTCAGAGATTATTTGGGTGGTAACTCAATGATGGATAATTTTACTGGACGCGTAAAAGCCGATTGAGAGCGTTCTTCTCAACCTTACCTCACGCTTTTGATGTCGTCTAGTAGACCATTAGTGTCTCAATTCATGTAGTTTTCTTCAAAATCGTTTATGTCAGTGTGCAGAGCTTTTGAATGCAGGTTAATTATTGATGAAATCTAAGACGTGGTTTGGAATCTTGATTTGTTGCT